TTGTGGGGGGTCTACTATTATGGAGGAGGGGAGTACAGCTAGTTCATCTTCGTTTCGCCGGATGAAAGTTTACCCGGTTGGTATTTAGCTACCATAGTTTCCAGCATGGCATGTACTTATGGACTGTCGTGCACGGCTTTGGGGCCATTTCCAGAATCATGCAGGGTTCAACCCTTGAGCAACTAGACTAGACCTGGGGGTTTCCCAAAATTAGGGGTACTTGCTTAAGGATCACCAAAACGATTATAGTGCTTTGGGTCTACATCGGAGGTCCTCCTATTCAGAGAAACTACCAGGAAGCCTTGGTTGAGGCTTTAGGTCACGTTCGGGTTTCAGCGTTTAGGGTTTTTTGAGTTAAGGGTGTAGTGTTCAAGGGTTGGGGGCTCCCTTAGCCCCCCCCGAAACCCTAAACCCTGAAAGTATTGCAGAACATATCCCGACAAGCTTTCCAGGCCATGAAGGGGCGGAAGCTATCTGGGCGAATGTCTTGATAGTATGCTGGAGGTTAAGGGTTTGGGGTTTAGGGTTCTGATAGTGTAGGTAATCATCTCCCCCGCCTCCCCCTAATATTACCCCCCCACCCACCCCCTATCATAAAAAACAATCCTCGTGTATTCTAGGATACCTAGAAGGGATCAAAGTTTAGCTGTTACGACAAAGCAGAAAAACAATCAGTTCTCGCCATCACCACTACTGCCATCCCGCAATATTCCGAGCACCGAGGTTCTCCCCGAGCCTTCTGAGAGTTATCCAGGTCTTTCAAACAGCTCCTGCTGTTAGTCGTACATGTAGTGTTAGATGCCCGTTACAGAGGTTCGGGGAAGCATCCGCGCAAGACATTCTTTCACGGTGAGCCCTCCGAATGGAAGTCTCCCATCGCACCGACCAGCCAGACAAAAGAGAGCGCCAGCCGGTTTAGGATTTTGGGAGTCTGCTTATAACGCTGTCTATAACCTACCCACTATGTTACATAAGTCCCCGAAGCCTCTAAGTGGGGATTCCTTGGAAAGGCCAGGTGTCTCATGTCAGGGTGGAATCTATGGTACGCTGGGATTACAGCATGGGAAGTACTACAGGGATTACGGGTGCGCTATCGTTTTTTTTGTGGGAAACAGGGAACCATAAGTTGAGAATCCCAGCGTTTCAGAGGCACAGATACCTTTTGAGCCATATGTGGCCCCTGGGATTAGGCCCCCACCCAGGTGGTAGAACAGGAAACTATGGGGGCCCCATTTCAAAATGCGGTTATCCCTTGTCCTCACTATTAGTGCGTTGGTGGGGGCTTATCCTAACTCGCATACCAGGTTTGAGGCGGGATTACCAGATGTGGGGTTGCCCTGTCATTCGCGGATATGGTGTGTTAAGATTTCCGATATTCTGAAACCTAAGAATGAATACGAGTCACAACCTTTAAGCATATCCCCATAGGGCACCAGTTTAGGGTACAAGCAACTCTTCACGAGGTTTTCTGACATGAAAGCTACGATGCAAGGCCGATTTCTCAAGGTCTTCTAAGTCTATGGGATCTGGGCCCAAAACTAGGACCAGGTTGCGTATTCTGCCGTGTGGTTTCAAGGACTTGCGCAAGAGCAGAAGTTGGCCGGACCAGCCGTTTGTGTGGAAATTTACAGCACTTCGTGACCGTGCTTGAAAATCTGCGGTGTCTAAGGCATTTTCCATGCAGAAAAGAGCCTTCGCATTGTCAGTTACAAGCTAGAGTCCCGTTTTCGGGGCCTCCGAAACTACCGCCAAAACCAGCTTCGTGCCGTAAATTCCCACAGAACAAGGCGCGCAAGAAGCTGTTGTTTTCTGTAGCAGGCTTTCACGTGATGCTAAAAACTCGTGCGGAGTTGCGGAGCCAATGGACTTTCTCCAAGTTTGGGCATGGATGCGCTGATAATCGCACTCATTAAAAGATGAAAACGAAAGTACGGTTTGGGCGTGGATGTTCTGGTAATCGCATTCGGTACAAGATGAACGGGTTTAGGGTTTGGGCATGGATGCTCTGGAAAGCACATTCATTAAACAGGTGAACGGAATTCTGGTTTGGGCATGGACGCTGTGGTAATCGCATTCGCTAAAATATGAACGGAATCATGGTTTGCGCGTGGATGCTCTGGTGACCGTATGGTTTTGTAACCTCAACGGAATTCTGGTTTGGGCATGGATGCTCTGGTAAACGCATTCATTAAAAGATGAACGGAATTATGTTTGGGCATGGAGTAAGCGCCTTCATTAAAAAGAAGAATGGAATTTCGGGTTTGGGCATGGATACTCTGGTAATAGCATTCATTAAAAGATGAAGATTATGGTTTGGGCATGGATGCTCTGGTAAACGCATTCATTAAAAGATGAACGGAATTCTGGTTTGGGCATGGATGCTCTGGCAAGCGCATTCATTAAAAGATGAACGGAACCATGGTTTGGGCATGGATGCTGTGGTGACCGTATGATCTTGGAACACGAACGGAATTGTGGTTTGGGCATGCGCGCTCTGCTGACCGTATGCTTTTGGATCATGAGCGGAACGATGGTTTCGGCATGGATGCGTTGGACAGCCGAACTTGCGGCGTACACGGGCGGAACAGCGAAGGTGCTTGAAAACCCACGGCAGAATATGCACCGTGGGCCAACTACGTACATAGGAACCTGCTCATGGTCCCAAGCATATCTTATATGCGTACGTGGAGCCTTTGGCTTACTTCTTGTGTGGAGTTCCTTAACTGTAAATCTCCGGCTCCAGCTAGGTGCTAGCAGTTTTGGTTTAGCGCTCAGTTTTTAGGCGTTAGGGTTTGGGGACCCTATGGCCACCCTATGATTCTCATAGGGTTTTGATTGGTAATTTCCTAAAATAGGGGACCCCGAGAAAGACCACCAAAAATGTTAATCCTTCTTATAGGGACCCCAAGAAAGGGTACCCCGGGTACCCCTAATTTTGGGAAACCTCCAAGGTAGAGGTTGCCCTAAACCCTTTAACCAGCATCCTCTCATCATCCAGCTGAGTACAGGGAAAGCGAGCCCTGTACTCGGAGCCAATGCCTGGCAAGGTCTTGGGATTTAGGGTGTAGGGTTTATGAACTCCTACCCCTTTTGGAATTGTTCCGAGTGTTTGCTGTAGTAAACAAACGAAGAACTATTGAACACGCTTTTAATATTTTGCTAAGTGGATTACGGTGAACCTATGCTCAATCTGCATAATGTGCAGTTTGCGCACCTAAGAGTTCCACCACTAACGAACACCCTAAACACGGAACCTTACCAAGCGATTACATCCCCAACCCTGAACTTTACTGAAACCCTACACCCCGACCCCTCAACCTGACTAAAGCCCTACGCCCCAAACACGGAACCTTAGCAAAATCGGACCAAGGCCATCATGGTAACCTTTGAGACGCAGGCTCCGAACGGTTCTGTTGCCTTTCGGAGTAGACAAGAGTGCGGAAATCAGGTGTCCTTTTGTTGTGGGGGAGCCTATACTAAGCATCATAGTATTTTGGTGCATATCTAGGTTCCATCTATTTATGGAAATTACCAAATGGAATATTGCTACAATTCAAAGGTTAAGGGGTATATACGGGATAGAAAAGCAAATGGCCACAGGCAGCGAGGTCAGAGTTGAGCACTTCAGGAGAAAAAGACTTGAGGGATCTCTTGAGGGTTTAGGGTTTAGGGTTTTAGGGTTTTAGGGTTTAGGGTTTAGGGTTTAGGGCCTGGCTTTCAGAGGAATGATCACGACGGAATGAAACCTAAACCCTTAGAACAAAACCTAAACCCTGTCCGGGATGGAGGGCTCGAGACCCTGTGCTGGTGGAGGAGTCTGAGGGGGGAAGCACGGTTGGTGTGCTGACACCTCAAGAAGTAGTATTGCGACGAACCCTTGCCCAAACACGGTATGGTAGTTTCCATAAGATGGCCGTGCTCAGTATAGGCCCCACATACCATAATCCTTACTTTAGAGGCTCCGAAAATGGGACCTCTAATTTTTGGAAGCCCCCAATAGGGTTTAGGGATCAGTAGTCCTTGGACCATTCCCAGGCATGTTCCTCATATTGTTTTCGCCCTATCGTAAACCCTCCCCTAATATCACACTGCTGACTGTTGAAATGGCGAGGGGGTGTTTTACACACTGGGGGAAGAGATTGATCTATTTCATCATTCCCTGTGCAGCACCAGCTTGATCAGGTATCTCGATGCTGGATGCAATCTCAGTCTGGAGTCTAGGCTTGCCACGGGTAGGTTGAACAAAGATTCTTTACTTCTAGTCTATTACCCTTCATCCCTATGTAATCATCCTTTTGAAGCAATAAAGAAATATTTTCTTCTAGGACACCCAAACCTACTTTAGCCTAGGATTTTCAGGGTGGGATGTGCGGCATCTATCCTCAAAGGGTTTTGGTCTGAGGTTTCTTATTGACCGAGTTGTTTCAGGAGGGCGGCTAGCATGAGGGGATGCGCTGAAGAGCGAATGCTTTTGTGATGAAACCCCAAACCCTGACATCGTCCAGAGACTCGACGGTATTCCCGATGTAGGACTCTGAAAAAAAACAAGCCCGTATGCACCAGTGGCACGATATGCCCCAGAATCTAGTCTTGTAATTGCGTAGACGCAAACCCCATAAACCCTATAAACCCTGTAAACCCTATAAGCCCTATAAACCCTAAGCCCTTTAAACCCTACAAACCCTATAAGCTCTACCCTATAAACCCTATAAACCATAAACCCTAAACCAGTGTCTGTGTGTGCAGGTTATTCTTCTGGGCACATGCCCTGCCTTTCGCACCTGCCGGCGCCCCTCTCCATGGCTGGGCATGTCTTCCAAATGCTGTTCTACCATGTACCAAATAACCCTAAACCCTGTAAACGCTATAAACCCCGAACCCTAAACCCTAGAAGTATAAACGCAAACAGCTGGAAATGGATTTGGGAGATTTCAAGAGCAGGCAGAGATGGCAGTCTCTGAAGAGCGGTTGTATGATCCTGGGGTTTGGGGTTTTTGGGGTTCGGGCCGGATGTTTGGAAAGGGTTTCTGGGTTTAGGCTTTGGATTGTTGCATTCAGGATTTAGGGTTTCAGGTTTCTGGCTGTAGGATCATTCGGGAGGATATGAGGCTCCCATGCTGGCATTCAATGATCTATGGAATTCTGTGCGCAGATTGTTCGTTCTTCTGAGACCCTTGTCTTGGGAAACCATAACAAAGGAACGGGGGATCCTGCAGTATACAGTATACAGCCGTGTACAGCGGATATTTAAGGGCTCAATGGTCAAGCTCACTTACTTTCGCATGAATGGTCGTTTTCCCAGAAAGAGACTGCCAGGCTAAGCATGTTTGGGCACGCTCAGAACTCAAAGAGCTGTACCGGTTAGATGATAGTAGGTATACAACTATATATACACATCTTCAGCTCTTCTCTCTTGCAGACTGATATTGCTGGGTGCTGGCAGTCCCCAGACAAATTTGTTATTCAGGGAGTTTGTCTGCTGTAGCCTTGTTGCAGTACGGTAGTGATGCAGAAGCCAGGCAGTGTATGGCTGGATGTACATCTAACAAGTTTAGAGAGCTACCCATACTTTTGGGGGGAGCTGAGGAGCTAGGGATAGTCTATATCAATATCATAAGGGGAGCTAAAGAGCCCAGGAATCTCCAAAACCAGAGGGGAGAGAGACCTTGGATATCTCCGCGCACGCCCTAAGCTAAACCGTGAGTCGTTGAGGATAAAGCTCAGGACCTAGGGTTTAGGGTTTAGGGTTGAGGGTTTAGGGTTTAGGATGAAGGGAGGTTTTCGTGTGAAGTCGGAATCAAGGAGGACAAAACTGGGTGCCTGGAGTTTCAAAGGCTCGAAAGGGGAGTGTCGCAAGTGGCTGTAACAGCATATACGCACAAATGGGAGTTTTTCAAAATCATTTCTATAGGATCCTTAAAGGGGCGTTTAGTGTTTCGAAATGTACCCGCCCAGCCCCTAAACCTCAAATCCCTGTATTATTTAGGTTGGGCCCCCACCCACTAATAGTGATCACAACAGGTAATGGTAATTAAATTAAGGTCCTATATATTCCTAGTATACCACTATTAGTGGGTGGAGGCCCAACCCAATGTAGTATCCCAGTTTCATTCTTTCAAATTGTCTTTCTCGTGGGATTCTCCATCTTTACCCGCATCCCTTAGCCCTATACCTTCTTATGTAACCCTCTAAGCCCTAAACTCTATAGTCCCCCTTAAGTAGATAGAATATGGGGTATATGGGGATCTTGTTGTAATATACCCAAAGCCATATTCTATCTACTGAAGGGGGACTATTAAGCCCTACGGAGGATACTAGAAGGCAT